TGATTGGAGTTCGATTGGCACTTTCAGCCAACCTCTGTAGTCGCTCCCTCGACCGCCGGCACGCATTGTTTCCTCAGAAGGTATTGGACCCAGGCTCAAGTCGTAGCCGTAGTTCGCCTTGAACGGTGAGATACCTGTAGAAGTGTGCGTGCTGTTATTGTAAGCAAACTCCGCTGGAGGCAATAAGTCCACCCAATCGTCTTGGTGATAGGATACAAAGTGTCGCAAATACTGCTTGACCACCTTGTTTGCAATTTCAGACTGTCCATTGGTGCGTGGGTGATAAGCCGTGGATGGAAGTAACTTGACACCTAATCTTTTGTTGAGCTGAGAGGTGATTTTTGAGACAAAAACACTACCTCTATCAGAGACAATAGTTTTCGGAGTACCGTGTAACCTCCACACTTCTCTCATCATTGTATCAGCCAGTTGCTCCGCTCCGTCCGTTTCTTTGCATGGTACAAAGTGTGCCATTTTGGTGAGTCTGTCGATTACAGTTAAGATGCTGTCTTTCCCTTGAGATACCGGAAGTCCTGTTATTAAATCATAACTGATATCTGTCCAAGGACCTGCGGGTATTGGTAAAGGTTGGAGAGACCCAAAGGGCTTCATCAGCGATGGTTTAACTCTTTGACGTGAAGTACACCCGTCGACATATTTATTAATGAATAATTTCATTCCCGGCCATGTATACTTCCGCTTCACCAACATAAGTGTCTTTTTTCGTCCTGGATGACCCGCGAGTTTACTGTCGTGATAAATGCGAAGTAGGTTAGTTTTGAGTTCTTCGTTATCAGGTACTACCACCCTTCCTCCCTTGTACAGCACTCCGTCGTTCAGCTGGTACTCCGCCAAGGCTTCTTTCATCTTGATTGAAACGGGGTTCGAGACGGCTTCAATTATTTCGCATAAGTTCTTGTCAGATTGAGTTAAACTACGTATTTTGGATACTAAGTCACTGTTGGAATTGAGTTCCACTTGTTCCTCCTCTATCTCATTGGCTTCAGCGTCGATACCCATAACATCAATTGAAACCACTCAGCTGCT